CTTACTCAACTGCCAATGTGGTTTTTCTGAAGTGTGGGTCTGACCATGTAATCTTCCTGCTCAATGAGTTTTAGTGGCTCACTAATTCCTACCAGATCAAATATGAAGCCCTTTGTTTGGCATTCAAAGCTTTCATAATCTGGTCCCTTTCTATCTTTCTAGTCTTCTTATGCTCTATTTACCGAGGTGCATTTTATGATCTAGCTACAAGGCTGACTTCCAGTTTCTTAAATATTATACCTCATCCCCTTTCTCCATGCCTTTGTACTGACTGTATCCCATGCCTGGAATGTTCACATTGTCCTAACTTTTCCTTCTCCTTTTTCCCTTTGGCTTTTTCAAAGACCCAGCTCAACACAGGTCAGGAGGACCCAAGTTTAAATCCGGCCTCGGACCAAATACTTGACACTTACTAGTGTGACCCTGGGCAAGTCATTTAACCCCAATTGCCTAAAAAAAAAAATTTTAAAAAAATCTAAAGACCCAGCTTAAAGTCCACTTTCTGTAGGAAACCTTTTTGAGTTTCCCCAATTGCTAATGCTTTCTCTTTCAGATTATGCCATCTATTCTGTACATCTTTTATGTATCTAGTTATTTACATATTGTCTCTCCCATTAGAATGTACACTCCTTGAAGGCACAACTGTTTTTTCCATTTCTTTCTATCTCTAGCATTTATGAAAGATTAATAAATTCATGTTGACTAATTACATGATGCTTTAAGATTTGCAAAGCACTTTAAAACATTAGTTGATTTCAGCTTCACAACAACCTCATGAAGTAGCTGTTATTTATAATTACCCTCATTTTTATAAATGTGGAAACCAAGGCTTCAGTTACTTGCCCATACTCATATAAGTAGTAAATTCTGAAGTAGGCTTTGAGCCCAACTCTTCCTGACTGCCCTCTCTATCCTGTGCTTGGTTATAAATTCTCTGCTTAATCATAGTTCTGAAACATGCTTCTTTCCATTATCCACTAATATTTTTTATATAATGACATTTTACATTAGGCCACATATCCATTTGGAGTTTGTTGTGGCATTTGTATAAGAGGGTCTAAACCTAATTTTTACCAAACTGCTTCCTAGTTCTCCCAATTATTCTAGTTAAAGTTTTCTTCCCTCATGGTTTAAGTTCTTGGAATTCCCACATTATTACAGATGATGAAACAGAATCAGAGAGGATGAGTGACTGTTCCGAGGTTACAAGATCTAGGATTGGAATCCATGTCTGGAGAATACAAATCCAGACTTCTTTAAACTATAAATATGTACAAATTTGCATGACTTAAATATGGAAAAGATCTAAGAGGTAGAAAATTTCAAAGAAGGCTTTTGTTAATAATTTCTTACAGTAATCATATATATTTTACCTTATAATTGTGTATTGCTATAGTGATAATCCAAATACTAAAAAATATGGCCAGGATCAGTTCTGAGTTGTTTTCACTAGTGCAGAATTTTTCTCGTGACTCATTTTTTAATTGAGCAAAATTCTGTCTTGGCAAAATGGTTCAAGCCAAAAAGTTATTCAAAGATGTGGGAAAAGATAGGACCTAATAGCTGTTTCCACTTCTACCTCTTAATTTCTTTAATTATTTGTTGGTAATAATTTACATTTACTATGCAAAGTCATATGGTTCTAATGGGCAAGTATGTCACAATTGATAAATCAAGCTTATTTGAGTTTGCATGGCAATTAAATTGTTTTTAACACTCAGAGGGGGGAACGAAGCAGAAAGTATGCCTGGGAAGCTCAATACTTTGCTTTCAATACTCTGTTAACCAAAACTCTTTCATGGCTTTTATCTTATTCCTATACTTTTGATAATTCTCCCTTTTGTTAGATTAAGAACAAATTTAACATAGCATCATGGAGCTTGTGTCCTAGTTGAATGCTTAACATAAGATACTAAAAGATACTTAACCTAAGACACTGATTTAAAGGCCAGTTAAAAGTAGAACAATTGTTGGAATTTCACAGAATTGCTACACATATTTCATCTTTTATGTAATTTTACATAAGAAGATGGACAATTATCACACATGGTTAAAAGGGGTGGGGGATTTGAAAGGATCTGCATCACTGAAGAGTGATGAAGAGTGAAAACTATTTCTATCAAAGTAAGAAGCATTTACATAAATGATCATTGATTTTTCAAACTATAAGTACTACATAAGAGGAAAATGGAAATTCACTTATTAAATGTAAGCAAGATAATCTAAAACAAATATGAGACTCAAAGAAATAAAAGAATGTTAAATCCTTGTCACTGTCAATGAAAAATGAGCAATTCTGATTCATACTACAAAACAGGAATTGTTTGAGCTTTTAATGATTCTTGGGTTAAGGATTATTTTTTTACAGCCCAACATTCCAGAGCAATACTGCATGACACTGTGGAATGTCAAAACTACCATGCCTATATTGTAATGTTTTGTTAAAGTTCACTGAACTCTTGTGACATCATGAAAGAATATCAGCCTGGCAGTCCCAAGAGCTAGTGGGTGCTAGCACAGAGGGATCTTTCCATTCACCTGCTGTGTGTTGCTGGGCAAGTAAGTCACCCAAACACTTCTGGATCTTAACTGCCCCACCTGCAAAATAATGGTAGTGAAGTAGGCAAGAAGTAGTGAAAGCCCGAACTAATGTGATGCTTATGTGGACTACAGGAATTTAGGTAATTCCTATTAGGTCTAATATTAATGGGTCTCTTCATAAAATGAAAAGACTATAATAGCTACAAAGCAAACAGAACTAAATCTGACTCCTATTTTGTCCTATATGGGAGGTGAATTCTCTATAATCAACTTGACCACTATCCTCTGAATATTCTAATTCCATTAGCCTTTGATCCATTTGGATATCTTCAATGACTATTTTTAAGTTAAGATACTGAGATGCATGAGTGTTAAGCAGAATATCTCCTACAGTGAAGAAAACAGAATTCTAAACCCTTCCATATCCAAAAGTTATTTTTATATCATGAGAATAATTTGATATTGGTATCAGACAACTTGGGTCTTGGGACCCATTTTTTAAATTTAATTTAAGCAATTAGCATCACTGAACTTGATAAAAATTAGCTTTTATAATACTTTATTTTACTGCTAATTCAGATTTTGACTTCATTTCTATAGGCTTGTAGAAAGGCTTATAGAAAGTCAGTAATGAGGGAATTCTCCAAATATAATTTCAGTTAACCATAAAAAGCTGAAGATGATTTTTTTCCCCATGAGGCAATAAAGTACATTAAAACCCCAGAAAGCAGGAGAAAGCTAACTTAAATTGCTTTGCTAGACATTTTGTGGGGAGACAGCTGTGGTTTTGTTTGATCAATTCATATTCTGCTGCTACTATAGCTAAACATACCCTTTAAAGTGGCTCTTCAATTTAAATTACTTTCCACAGGAAACTGTGGCATGGACTAAAAACATAAAAAGAATTTTGCTTAGGGATTAAAATAATATTTTATGGTCAACAAAACTGTATTTGTGGATAAAAGAGTTGTCTTTCTAGAAAGGAAAAGAATATACATGAAATCAATATTTTCCAGATATGTAATCATTTCCAAATCATCTGTATAAGTAGTCAGATCAATGACTTCTTGGAACAAATTCAAAATCAAGAAAAAAAATCAACATCAAATTTGAAGACTATGAATGAGAAGATATATCTCCCAACTGAGGTTATGCAACCTGACCCAAACAGTTGTTGACGCTGAAATAATACAAAATGAATGAAAGAACATACGACAACACTATTACCATTTCCTAAGGACATTTATCATGAATTAATACCAAATTAATTAAATTTAAAATTAACGAATCAGTCAACACAGGAAGGAGACCAAGAGCCTACAAATTGCCTAAGCCAACAATCATGGGATCTAAAAAGAGGGGCACAAAAGTCAAGGGCAGCACCAGTTGAAATTATAAACTCATTTGGAAAATTGAATGGAGGAGGATTGTGGAAGATTACAATCTGTACCACCTTATAAACAGCAAGAAGCAATGAATGGAAAAGCAAGTTCATAGAACATTTGGTGGCACACAAACAAAAACCCCCAATAAACTTTCAGTACTAAGTTAAGAAAGCATTGTTACACATGTAAACTGTGATCTGTAACTAATTGTCATGTAGTGCTTTATAATTTAGTCTTTACTATATAACCAGAAGAAAAATGTTCAAGCTCTATTCATAAAGTATTGTGTTACTGAATGAGTGTGTATCCATATATATGCATGTATATTTCTGTATATATGTATGTGTAGATGGGTAGACTTTTAGTTATGTCTTATTTATATTTTTTAAAAATTACTGTAGAACATTTAAAAATATGTGCAACATTTCCCAATGAAGGATTTTAGGAGTTCTTAAGTATCTATATTTTAGATCAAGTAGGGATTATGAGGTTTATAAATTGTTCATGAAGGTTATTAATAGGAACAACAGCCCTAGGACACATTGAGAGAGGGAAAAAAGACTGGGGAAAACATGTGGAGAAACAAGACTTCTAGGATTAGAATGAGAAAGAATCAGAACAGTTTTACTTGGAGTTGGGAAGAATTGGAAAAAGTGAAATTTGTGCATGCCATATGTTTCTATGTTTGGGTTTTAATTCTTTTTTTGACCTGATGGTTTTATTGGTAGATCCATTTCCTGGAGAGGAAACACCTTTTGCTAATGGCACTTACTCTGCAAATTATAATTTTAAAGTGTACAGGTTCAATGACTTGCCCAAGGTCACAGTATGTGGCAGATGGGATTTACCCAGGTATTCCAGATCTACTACCTATCCATTATGCTATATTGCCTGTGTGCTGTTATCAATAGATGTAAAGAGCTAATAAGAACATAGAGATATGGAACTTATACATTTAGCTGGCTTATATATTGACCTATATATATTCCAATATGACAAATTAAAAAAAAAAGTTGTACCATATAAAAAAATCTTAAGTCTTAATCCCAAGAATGCAAAAGCTGGATTACGTACCTATTGCTTGAGCTAAGGCTATTACAACCTCTTGGCAAGTTGTGACTTCAGTGACCCCACAAACTATCCTCTGGACTCCATCTACCCATACTTTGAGTTCCATGGTGTAGCCAGCCAATCATGCAGGAGCGAGAAAACCAGTCATCTAGTTTTCAGGTCATATCTACAGCCAACAAAATGATGACAGGACAGAGCATCTGTGGTCAGCTGCAAAAAACAACATAACATAACTTGATTTACTTGGAAACAAATATTTTCTGAATTCATGACTACAAAAGAAAAAAACTTGAGATAGAATGAACATCTAAAATGAAGAAGTTGAAAAAAATAAACATCCTCAAGTTCTCTATGACATAGCTACCAAGGCCTTCTTCCTATTTCTTGATTATGACGCTCCATCACCCAATTCTGGGCCTTTTGGTGGGGCTGTCCCCAATGCTTGGATGCTCTTCTTTCTCACCTCTATAGCTTCATTTTCCTGGTTTCCTTCAAGATTCAAATCTCACCTTTTATAAGAGGCCTTTACTGGTCATATTCTAAGCTCCTCCCCCACTGGTGCCTTCCTTCTGAAGTTATCTTCCTTCCATTTATTCTGTCTATATCTTGTATGCACATAGTTGTTTTCCTGTTGTTTCCCCCAATAGAATGTGAGCTTTTTGAGGGCAGGAATTATGTTTTCACTTTTCTTTGTAAACACTTAATAAAGGAATGCATGTTGATTGATCAGAGAAGAGTCTATCTTTTGTACAAAGGGGCATTTGACTCTGAAATGCACATGTCCCCAGCACTGCTTCAGGGCCAGAAGAGGCAAGGAAAATGGTAAGGTTTTAGGAAAGGGAAGAATTTCACAGAATCCAAGAAGAGACCTCAGGGTCCACCTAGTCCCACTTGTGTCTAATCAAGAAGCCCTTTTACAATATCCCAACAAGTAGCCATTGAGTCTTTGAAGCTCACCAGTGAGGGGGAACATATCTCCAACTTTGGGACAATTCTAATACTTAGATATTAAATAAAAGTTAATATCCATATCTGCTTTAAGCCTTAAAGTACTATTATTCACTGCTACTGCTGTTGTTCAGTTGTTTTTCAGTCATGTCCAAATCTTCATGACCCCATTTGGAGTTTTCTTGGGTTGTAGGGTGTGTTCAGAGAAGTTGAGTACCTCTGCTGTGACGCCACTGGGCAGTTTTCAGAAAAGGAAAGGACATTATCTTTTTCATATTTCTCCTCTCCTAGTAAAAGTAGTCCCATGAAATAGTTGATTGAATAAATGAATACGAGATATATTCCAAGACTGTAATCAACTAGGTTCTGAGAAGCCATAAACCAAGAAGAACCTATATAGAAAAGTAATAGTGATACTAGGAAAGATTTCTAATGGAAGTGATAATAGGCAAATTTCAGGGGCTGCTCCCTCTGTTAGTTCTGGTGTTCTGACAGAATTTGAGATAAGTAAGTTTTTTGTCACCCTATTTATATCTTTGCTGACTTTTAAAGACTTCCATTAAATTCCCCTTAGTTCCGTTCTTTTATATAACCTTATATAACCCCATGCTCCCTCCTCTTTGCCACCTTTACTGTGGTAGTGGCTCCTCATTATTTCAAGGTCTTATCTTCTCTCATAGTAGGCTACTTCTGTTTGAGCCAGCCATACCCCTCCTCCTTCTGCCACCTCACACCTCAGCCCTTTCCTTTTCTGGAAATTGCCCAGTGGCCTCCATTGTGCCAAACTATACCAGCCTGACCTCTCAAAGCAATGTTTGATGCTTCAAAAATATCCCACCTTCCTATTAAACTCCTTATATCCTCCTATGCTTCTCTAGTTATACATGTACTATGTATAACTTGCTATTCCTTTTATACATACAAAATTATCATGTAAATTTCTTTTTCCCCCCTCCATTCTCTCCCCTCCCCCCCAGAGATGACGACCATTAGACACACACATATATGTAAAATTATTCTTCACATACTTCTATTTATCAGTTCTTTGTATGCAGATATCATCATTCTTTCTATGTCCCTCACAGTATATAAACGACTATTATTAATACCCAAATTAAACAGTTAAAATAACTTATTTGCTCAGGGTCCTTTTTTTCCCCCGCCTTTTTTTTGGGGTGGGGGGGTGGGGAGAGGTGAGGCAATTGGGGTTAAGTGACTTGCCCAGGGTCACATAGCTAGTAAATGTCAAGGTCTGAGGCCACATTTGAACTCAGGTCCTCCTGACTCTAAGGTCGAAACTTTATCTACTGCGCCACCTAGCTGCCCCTTCAATATTGCTATGACTGTATACAATGTTCTCTTGGTTCTGCTCATTTCATTCTTCATTATTTCATGCAAGTGTTTCCATGTTTTTCTAAGATCACTAAACTCATCATTCTTATAGCACAGTAGTATTCCAGCACAATCATATACCACAACAGGAAAAGAACCTATATTTTCTAAAATGTTTCTAGTGACTCTTTGTGGTGGCAAAGAACTGGACATTGCAGGGATGCCTATCAGTTGGGGAATGGCTTACAGCCCCACCTTTCGCCTCCCTATTTCCCTGACTATGCCAAATGCCTAACAGCAGCATCCCCATCCAAAGGCCATGCTCAGCACCTTCCTCCTCCCTTCCAAGATCTAGGAATATGCGAAAAAGATAGTACATGGTAGTGGCTGAATCAGACAGGTCAATCAGATAGTCAAACTATAATCTAGTTTAATATTCTCATTTTAAATTTTTTTCAGGGCAGCTAGGTGGCGCATTGCATAGAGCTCTGGCCTTGGAGTCAGGAGGACCTGAGTTCAAGTCTGGCCTCACCCAAAAAGAAAAAAAAATCCCCCCAATGTCATATGGCTATCTAGTAGCACTGCCAATCATTAAAATAACAAGTTTAGATTTAATTTCAATTAATTTCAGTCTACTAAATAAAGTGTCAAACAGGGGGAAAAAAGATTAAATGTCCAGTGTAGACTTGGAAAAAACAGTTTTTTAAAATAATTCTGGTTAAGAATTAGAGCACTAAAACAATTATCAATAGTAGATTGAGGGGACTGCCTATAACAAGAAATTTCTGTACTGAGTCTTTTTCCTTGTTCCATTTTGCTAAATGTATGTGGATGGTGAAGAGCCTAGTATTTAACAGTATGTGGAGTAAAAGCACTCACTATACAGTATCTCCCTTACCTTACTGGCACAAAATACCATAATATTAAGTTCCATTCCCAACTCCAGTGTAATACAAAGAGAATTAAGAAAGCCATTTGTTTCATTGTTATACCATCTTTTTCACAAACAATGGTGTGCCAGTGTGTTTTGTGACACTTGAGGTATATACTTTGAGTATGCCAATTCTTATTATGCTTTATCCTGTTAAAAGTCTTCAATAGGGAATAACTTTAATTCTAAAAGTATTTCTATATCAAAATCTATCTTTTCACTATGCCATAAATTTAGTTAAGCCCACATGTTTACTATAAAAGCTTAAAACTGCATGAAGACTTTTGAGACACCCTGTATAGATGCATTTTTTTCACTTTTAAATAAAAGGTTTAATAGTGAATGTTAAATTTTTATTCCTAGTCCAAATATTATAATAGACTTCTACTTTTAGAAGCTTATCTTTCTTTTAATGAAACATAGGCTATTTGGTGATTGGACGTTACTGTAGTAGTTGGCATTAAAAAAAAGACATTTGTAAGTAAAATGGTCATTTAAAAAAAAAGACCTGTGTAATGATGGAGAGAAATGTTTTATCTGTTAAAATTTCTCTTTGGGTAGATAAAACCTAAGATCTACATTGTAGAAACAATTTTTCAAATGCTAAAACTTATCCTTGTTTTCTTTTGCATTTCAATTAATTTTCTTAAGCACTTTAGTAAGGCATTAATTTTCTCTAACCAAGAAATACATTACCAAGTAAAGCCTGCAAGAAGTTTGAAATCACAAAAAAAAAAAAGACCTGATTGATAGTATAAACAGGTGCCTGGTTCACAGTGGCAAGCAATCAAACGAATAAGGCCTTGTGGGCTGTAATGTTCCAATTTCTATCTGTTGAACACTGAATTGAGCTCATCAATGTTAAGCTAATAAAAACCACATCTCATTTTGAAATAAAAACCAAATGATATTTATACAAGGGAAGAAATGTTTCCATGTAGCAAGCTAAGTCAATGGTTAGGTGTTAAATACTTAAAATGCTTCTTCTTGGGGCAGCTAAGTGGTGCAGTGGATACAGCACCAGCCCTGAAGTCAGGAGGACCTCAGTTCAAATCCAGACTCAGATCAAACACTTGACACTTACTAGCTGTGTGACCCTGGGCAAGTCACTTAACCCCAATTGCCTAAAAAAAAAAATGCTTCTTCTTACTTCAGTGCTTTGATGGATAACATGACTGACATGAGGATTCCCTTCAAAGGTGAATGAAATACAATTTACACCTTCTTATCTTGGGCAATGGTTTACCCATTTTCTTTCATAAGCTTTTCAGAGAAAATCTAGCCAACATGTTAGTGGTTTTCCTGTGGCTCTTTTCACAATCCGTGGATATCAATGCAGCAGTCTAGATATTGATCTGTAATCTCTTCCACTTGTAATATGAGAAACCCCTCTTGTGTCTTTTTGGCCACTTTTTTGCATATGTCATCTTTGATAAGTTGCTATAAATGTCTTAACTGCCCTTTCAGTCACTTGAAATAATTCTTTAGTCTGCAGTGTTCCATGTTTCACTTCCACATAACATCTCCAATACTCCACTTGCTCCTTTCACTGATGCCTAAAAACATATCCACATCTTCTCCATCCTTACAAAAGAACAAACCCTTTACTTAACCCCATCATTCCCTCAAGCTATATCTCTTCCCTTTCACAAAGGGAAATTCCAAGTAAAAACTTGATAGTAAGTTATTCCTTCCATTTTCTCACCTGTCACTCACTCCTCAACCCTTGGCAATCTGGCTTCTGACACCTCTCTCCCCCCCCATTGAAACTGCTCTCTCAGTGGCTACCAAGAAGTGTTCACTCCTTCATTCCTCTCCAGGTTCTCCTGACTTCCCAGATTGCTTTCTGGCTAGATTGTAAGAATCTGACCAGTGGCTAGACTTTAAGAATCTGAGCCCCCAGATAGCTTTCTTCAACATGATCCAGTAGTCTTCTCACTCTGAAGGATCACCCCCTTCCCCTCCAGATTCCTTTTTATGTGTTGTCTTTATTTTAAGT